AAATACACCCCCTGTAAAATGTCACTCAAAGTCTCAAATAAATATACTATCCCTAGATAATATATCATGTGTATAACTACTTTAAATTTATTTTAAATATATGAAGTTTATTAGATTTAATAAATATGTTATATTGTAATCAAAATTGTTTAAATTATTCTCAATATTCCAGATCACAAAGAAAATCACATTTACATGTCATAAGATTTTCAAATTTCTACAAGTACATGAGATTGTTGGTATTTTGAAGTGGTAATATAATTTGCATGACAAGATTCAAGCCCCAACTCCACTATATAAGGAAGAAGATGGGGAGCAAATAATATGAAATATAACATATATACAAAGACAAGTTGAGCGTGAAGAAAACAAAAAATAAAATACAATAATTAAGGCATTAGCAATGGTTTTCACTTCAAACATCCATTTTGTTTTGATTATATCATGTGTTTTCTTATCAATGATCGGAGTTTCACTTGTAAGTGAAAAGCTCGCAATCGTGTTGTTTTTAATGAAATTATCCTTACACATTTTTAAAATTCGTTAATATGTATGTGTAAAACCACACACAAGCATAGAAATATTAACGATTTGACATATATGTCACTATACATATTAATATAAAAATATGATTTCTTTTCATTATGTATTTTATCTTTTATCCATATCAAACATGTATGTAACACACTTCTTAGTAAGTCATATTAACTATTCAATTTTCTTTATATATTTGTCGTGTAACAGGCTGGTGACAAAGTATTGAGCCCAATTTCCCTTGCCTTACTTGCTACAACATCAAGCGAGACTGTCACTTGTCCAGTCCCTAAAGAACGTGAGTTCATTTCTACAAATTTTATTTATTTTATTTTCATGTCAAAGGTTATATATATTGTAGAAAATTAATATATCAATCGTTTATTTCTCTAAGTTTAATGTTCAATTATTAGTATATCTAATATCATTTTTATGTTAAATTGTCATTAATAAATTTTTTTATTGATTTGATATCCAAGCATGTGAATGGGTGGTCTGTGAAAACCTCCAATCAGGGTCTTAAAACAATGCACTGAACAAAATTTTCTTTCTTTCCTTATTATATAGGTGGTGGGAGTGAATGTGAGCGTCGATGCTCTGCAACATCACATAAAAAGCCATGTTTGTTTTACTGCAATAAATGTTGCGAGGTATGCTTGTGCGTACTTCCCGGAACTTATGGAAATAAAGAGTGTTGTCCTTGCTACTTAAACTGGAAGACCAAGGAAGGAGGACCAAAATGCCCTTGAAAAATTATGGAGTATAATAAATTTATAATTTCCTGCTTCTCATGGATCCTAAATTTTATAAGTCAGAAGTTTTGTTTGGAATTCGTTAATTTGAAAACAATCAAAAGTGGCAAAAATAAAATATTTAATTATCTATATTGTTTTGCGCGGCAACTATTATTAGTTACTACTTATTACCTCATTCTAATTATTTTTATTGGTTGCTTCATTTTGAAGTTTGAACTATAATCGCATATATAATCAAAGATCATGTATAATGTCAGAATTAAGGAATAATTATGAGATAGAAAATTGAGAAAGGAAAAAGTTATATAAAAGTTATACATACCGATAAAAACTTTTCATTAAGTGCATAATGGATATGCTTTGTTTTACTATAAGGGTAAATAATAATTTGCATCATCTGTTATGCATGATTTTTGGATTTGCAAGCTACATAAATTTTTAGAATAAGTCGTAACCTTGCACTACATATGAAGGCAAAATTGCATCTTAATAGACCACCTTTCATAATTTGCAATTGAATCACCACCTTTACAATTTTGAAAATTAATACACCATCTTTACCATTTGCAAATCGATACATGAATGACGGTTTCGTTAACGAAAATCTGAGTCAATACCTTGTCAGATTTTCGTTAGATTTTGTTAACAGAACTGTCATTCATGTATCGATTTGCAAAAATAATAAAGGTGTCGTATTAATTTCCAAAACTGTAAATGTAGTGATTAAATTACAAAAACATGAACGGTGGTGCATTGATATGCAATTTTTTCACATATAAAAACATATATTACAACCTCTCGTCGTTAGAGTCTCCAAATTTATCAGGAGAGTATGCTAGCGTGATAAGCACATGCCATCTGAAGGGAAAAATTGCCATTCCATCCCCATGTGAAGGAATTTTATGCTTTGGCCTCCAAATCTAGAAATCCCACATGATAATTTTTATTAAGCGAGAAGTTATAATTAATATATTGAAGAGAAAAAAATGAAATTAATTTCACGAAAAAGATAAAATTAATCATGCTTGTTTAATCTTGGGTGAGACCAAGTAATGTGGAGTTCGGTGAGTATTTGAATAGCAAAATTTTCAGAAACATTGACGCGTCAAATTCATCGACTCACCAAGATTGTTGGTCGAAAACGCCTCGTCCTGATCGCCTAATCTTGCGAATCAACCTACAAAAGCGCCGAGGGTAGGTTCCTAGAGTAGACACTCCGACGTTCATGATAGAAAACATATATCTCAACCGTACTATAACTAAGAGACTTATTGAGAGCTTAGGATCAGAAATTGAAATGGATCTCTTATTTATAAGGCACTTAAAGACATAGTCCCCAAGACAAGCGGTTTCCCTAATAACCAAGATTCTCCAAATAATTGTGCAGATATACTCAAACTTACTTGGATATGTTTTAGGAGTAGTTCCTAAATCTTTATAGGTATTTCACAATACAATATATCTTTAAATCGCATAAATCGGGCTTAAGCTCCCTTGGACCGGCCTAACCCGAGGTAACCTCTCAAGCCGATCCAGTTAGTTAATATTGGTGC